CTATCCTATCTTGATATTCCAGTCTGATCGTCATTTAATGAATTTTTCTTTTTATCATGATTAACATATTTTGATTTTGCGCTATCTTAATCAATATTATGAAAACTACCTGTGAAAACTAAATTATTATTTTAGACACCTTTTGAAATCAATAAACGACATCTACAGTCTATTTATATTTCAGTTAAATAAATCGTCAAAAATAAATATTAATGTTTTTAAATTGCGTTGCTTCTTTTGTAATGTGAATTTATGCATGTATTATACGAACTCAATTAATGTCGAAAAGTAAAATAACAAACATACCGAACTTCGAGGAAAATTCAAAACGGAAAGTCCCTAATCAAATGCCAAAATCAAAAGCTCAAACACATCAAACGAATAGATAACAACTGTCATATTCCTGACTTTACTAAAGTAAATAAAATTTGGCGAAAGACTTATAATTTTTTAAAAATCGAATTTGCTGTATGTTATTTGTAGCTATTTGAGTTCAATTCTGCTGTACCCCTATTTTTGACATTTTTATCTTTTGTGTCTGTTTGTTTTGTTCACGCATCGTTGTCAATATAATGGAATTTGATGCGACTGTCATACAAGTGAGAGGTTTATCTAGCTATAAAACCAGGTTCAATCCACCATTTTCTACATAAGAAAATGCCTGTACCAAGTCAGGAATATGACAGTTGTTATCCATTCGTTTGATGTGTTTGAACTTTTGATTTTGCCATTTGATTGGGGACTTTCCTTTTTGAATTTTCCTCGGAGTTCAGTATTTTTGTGAATTTACTTTTTCCTGACAATTTTTAGTCGACATTTAGCAAAATATTGTATATTTTAGTTAGTGTTTAATTGAACTTTTGAACACCTGTGCACATGAGATCACCCCCGGTTTTTGGTGGGGTTCGTGTTGCTTAGTCTTTAGTTTTCTATGTTGTGTTTTGTATACTGTTGGTTTTCATTTGTTCGTTTTTCGTTTATGCCATGACGTTGTCAGTTTGTTTTCGACTTATGATTTTGAATGCCCCTTTAGTATCCTTTGCCTCTCTTTTTGAAGGTTTCCTTTGATAAGTTATCAGATAATAATTGTGCAAACGCATCAAATATACCCGACTGATAATAGACTATTTTCATATTACCGACTTTTGACTCCGGATTATAAAATTTGTCGACTGGTTACCTTGGACATCATGGTACCAAGTCAGGTAAGAGCAAGCTAAAGAAGTAAAACCAAGCTTTCAATCGGTACAATTTTGGGGGAAAATTACCTGGTTAATATTTTTTTTTCACTACAAAATCATCGGAAAACAGTAAACTTTCCCCTCAAATTACACCGATTATATGTTTGATTTTACTTATTTTGGTTGCTCTTACTTGACCGAGTACCATGATGTCCAAGGTAACCAGTCGACAATTATATAATCCGGAGTCAAAAGTCGGTAATATGAAGTCTATTTGGTACCTCAGACTCGCCTTTCATTACATAATATCATCCTTGGCGCTTGAATCAAATTAGTTGAAAGGCAGACTCGAATAATCGATTGAAAAGCATTTAGAGAGCCTAAAATCATCCAGTTAAACGGAATATTAAAAAAAAAATCCTTATCCTGAACTGAGGTCTATTCTTTGGAACGATTTGAAAAGTATACCATTAAATTTTCGATTTAAAGGGACTAAATAATATGGTTTTGAATTCCTTGTCCTAGTTTTTAAAATTCTTTTTCTACAGTCTTGATCTTCAATGATTGTGTCATTTCTGTTTTAAGTTTTTTTTCAATATTTTCATTTTATCTCCCGAATATCTCAATACGTGACCATTTGTCTTTTTGCAATAGAGATTACCGATTGCTAGTCTATAATGCTGTGACAAACTTTCTTTTAATTACAAATGATGATTTATTTTTTTACAAAACAAAAGACATACATAGTTCGTTTTAAGATGTGTCACGTGATAAGCACTGACTTTAAAAACTGAAATCCGTTTTCTTTAAAATGTATAATACAGTGGCGGATCCAGAGGGGGGCGTAGAGGGCGTACGCCCCCCCCCTTTGCTTGAACTTTTTTTTTTTTTGTAAAATGATGAATCAGACTTGACTTCGTGAACTTTGCCATTTCCCGGTCGTGTATTTAATTTTTAAGCGACAATTCTTTACTTATAAAGATATTTTTCGCTCGTATTTACTGTAATATATTATTGATTATGTCAGTCATGTGTTTCGCTACGGTGGAGTTGATCAGTACGTTTGAAACGTCACTCAGTCATTTTGAAATTCAAATAACAGTAACACATTGCTTAGGCGGAGGATGACAAGCATGACGCCTTCAAAACGACAAAGGATTGAGCAAGAACGTATTGACTTCTATTTCATATTTCCACTCAATAGAAACTAATACTCTATTACACTCTCAAGAAGAAAAAAAGTTCGACGGCAATATTATTTACCTACGAAAATATGTTTAACCCCACACGCCCCAGCCAATTAATAACATTGCTGAATAATGATCCCCAGTCAGTAAGCTCTAGATATGTTTAAAGTCTAAGGTACGGACCATTTGATTTGATAGGGCAGTCTGAGATATTTTAGAGAAAAAATTCTGACCCTGATTTTTGCCTTAAACAAAAATTCTGGCCGTATCTGTAATGAAAACAATTATCGTGTCCCCTTTTTGCTATGAGAAAAAAAAATCCAACAGAATTATTCAGCATTAAATGAACATGGTGAATAAAAAACGGGCGTAATTTTTTTTTGAGGGGTTTGCATGTAAATCCCATATCTGACCGGAATGTCTGTTTCGCCGAACTGATATACTGAATATTTTTTCAAGGCCCAACTGCAACCTGCCTGCTGGGTGTGGCCTTTATGTCTCCATTTGTCGACCGTCATTCACAACTTCGTTGTCATTTGATTTTCAGACTCATTCGTAGCCGTTGGTTGATTTGGAACCCCTCACTTCCCTTGTTGAGTGAAACATTTCAACCAAACATTTGGATAAAAATTGCTTGTTTGTCTTTGTTCGTGTCGGTCGTATTATAAACTTCATTGAATAGCCGCATATCATGTTTACAACAAGTAATCTGTGAGGTTATGCTAGCTAACCATACAACAAACGAGAATTTTCCATGTCCATTTTTTACTGACAAATCCCACATCAAATATATTAGTACATAGCTTTAGATCCATTCAATCATTTTATAATAGACAACTAATGGGGAGAATGCGGCATCAAAAATGTCCAACCCAAGCTTACACTTTAACTATAAAATATACATACCCCACGTAAGGAACCGTCACTAAAAATGTGCATTTAACACTTATTTTTATGTTTTGTAGCCAAAAAAAGGTCCAAAAAATTTTTCGCCTCGATCCGCTCGGCAATTTTTACATACTACGCCCCCCCTTTCCAAAATTCTGGATCCGCCCCTGTAATATATATGATACAATTAAACAACATATTAGACGATAATGCTGTCATTTTTTGTTTTTCTCATATTAATGATAATATCTTATGCAATATTGACCTTGGACGATTTTGGTTTTCTGCTGGGGTGTTTTGGATTTTTATGCATTGTTTATCAAACGCTATATATTTTCGGCTTTTCAAACCTAGGTTCTGATTATCTTATTAAGTTAAATCCAGATATACATTGCACTGATAAAAATACTCGGTATGACGTAATGTAAGTTTATGCTCCTTTATGCTCCTTACACCTAAACTGCTCTAACAGAGTTATGAGGAAGAACGACTAAAAATCGATTCAACATATATACGTTTTACAGTCAACATCGCGAATTGGTTACTAGTAATTGAAATGATTTGTCGGTATCTTAACTCACTTACTAAATGATCTTTAGATACCAGTAAAGTCGTCTGATCTGCAATTTAATCTATTAAGTGCTATTCCCTGTTGTGACATTTTGTCTTACTGTGAATTCGTATGGCGATGGTGCGTGCATAGCTGGAGACGCCTTGTCGACGCATGCGCACCCTGTCTCGCTCCTTTTGGAGTTCGTGCGATTCCCATGGTTTTTCTTTGTTACCCAAAGTTATCTCTTCATTTTGAATTTGCGAGGTTTGAACATCGGTTAACTACTATCGCCTTAATTTATGACTATTTTGATTAAACATGGTGAATTGTCATCCGTTAACAAACTAACTTGTGGAACAATCCGATTTTGTTTTTTTAAATCTTTGAAAATGAATTATTAACAATCAACATTTCATAAATGTGGTTGCTGAATTTGAATCTCATATTTTCTTATTGTTATAAGAACTATGACAATTTTGTCAGATTTTTTTTTTTTTTAATAAAAAGATTATTTGATAGCCCATGATAGGTCAATATAGTAAAAAAGTAGTACACAGTCCAAAGTTCATTCTCAACTCAGCTATTCAACTGCTACAAGCAGTATCATTCACTCAATTACAAATGAAAGAGTCTTGACCAAGATGACCTAATCATGAATATAACACCTCACCATTTGATGTCATGGTCAATGCATTCACGCCATTACCTTTTATTTACCTTGATAGTATTTGTTGAAGATTAAACCTGAGACCTGGAGACTACTATAACACACATATGTTATAGTAGTACAAGATTAAACCTCATGAACATTTTTTTTTAATCTCTTGCAATAATTATGTAACAATTTCGACAGTTTTTTTTTTTTAATATGTGCAGAGATAAAATTTAATGTTTTTTTTTCATTTGTCCTGAAACTTAAGTATTTATAAGGTTTCTGACATTCAACAAACATCATTAAATCATATAGGTTACATATTTTTCTACCGTCAATCATTGTCCTTTTGTCTGTAGTGGATATCTGTCTCCATGGCAACCATACCAAATCTATTAACCTTTTATCAATATTTGATTTTTTTTTATCAAACTCTTATTATAAGTGAACAACATATACTACAATTAACAATTCTATCTCGCCTTCTCTCAACCAATTAAACTAATTCTAAATATTACATTTTATGAATTATAACTGACCTTATTATAAACTGACCGTCCTTTCATCATGGCAAAACCATTAAGTGAATAATACAATTATTGAACGCAAATTATCCAACCGTAACTGTCAACATACATGGTATTACTTCTTGTACGACTTTGCCCCCCGCAGAGCTATAGAAAAACAGTACATTAACGGGTGTTACACGGACTCTTTTTAGATGTTACACGGACACTTTTTATGAAGTATTATAGATTCACTCGTGCATGATCAGTGAGTTCATGGGCACTTTAACTTTCAATTAGATTTGAACTTTTTGGTTCACCGACATATTTCCTGTCTTTTTATTAAACAAAATATTTACGTTAGCATCAATATCTTTTTTCAAACATTTTCAGTAAAATACTATTCATATCAGTACACTAAGGGATAAGACATTTAACTTCAAAAAGGGGGGTATGGTTTTCTCCTAAAAAAAGATATTTTGATCCCAAATTTTATGAGAAAAAATTTACTATGGTCAAGCAGATGACAAATTAATGTTCTGCATGATTCCTGATTTTCCGAATACCGTATAGTGCTAATTTAAACAAAAATATTTGGGTGATGGCGTTGAAAAGTAAATAGTTAATATACTCAGAAAAGAACATACCGCCCCATTTATGAAGCAAAATAATCGGTCAATAAATGTTTTCTTCGTTATATGGACATGAATAGTATTTTGGACAATGCTGAAAGTAAAGAAATGATAATACCGACGTTCATATTTCAATAAAAAAAAGACAGGAAATAAGTAAATAAAAATCAAATCTTATCAAAAGATAAAATCCCTATCAACTCACCAATGCACGATTGATCCTATAAAAAAAAGTGTTCGTGTAATACACGTCCAAATAAGCAGCAAATCTAGAAGAAAATCATTCAACTTATGTCATCAATTTTGGACGGTAAGCTGCGATTGGACCACGTAACACGTGTTTAATCCCGATCAACACTTGCAGATCTAGAGACGAGCATGAATTTAAAAAAAAATCAAAGTATATGCCTGAATATATATAATATTAAGACAAAATCCATTTTTTCATAACATTTCATTCACTAATGAAGTAGGAAATTCATTCTTTTGATACATTTATATTGTTATTGAATTTATATATACATATATATCAGTTGCGGATCCAGCCATTTTAAAAAAGGGGGTTCCCAATCCAGGACAAAACAGGGGGGGGGGTTCCAACTATATGTCCCCATTTAAATGTATTGATCGTTCAAAAAAAAGGTGTTACAACCCCCGGGACCCCCACCACTGAATATTGAATTCATGTATTTGGCAACAAACGTGCGATTTTTACGATTTTTTAAAAGTGGGAATGGGGGGATGGAGTGGCACATTCTGCATTTTTTCATCAAAATAAAGATCACAGCCTGTTTATTTTAAATTAAATTAGGCCCCCTCCCCGCTTTCCGTTTCATCCATAAAAATCAAACGTTAGCTTACTTACCACTAAAATATTTCTTTAATATATTACTTTTTTACGAAGTTGCATTTTAAAAAGTCTTAAATGTGTACAACATTCATCTTTTACTTGATATGGTTCTTTTTTATCAAATCATTAGATTCCTGATGTTGTTCTTGAAAAAAACTCTCGGTTGAAGGGAAATGAAAAAAAAAAAGTGTGTTTATACTATAACTTACATTTACTGCTTTATGGCTATCTAAGTTTCTCAAATGTTTAGTCTTGCAAAATGTATTATTAATTTACTTTCTTGAAACGTCGTACAAGTCAGATACAAAACAAAAGTAACAAAAAAATAGGCCGGAAACAACCTGCCGTATAGTTTTTCTGCACTTGTAGTCAGGTCAAGGTCCTCGGCTATCGCCTCGGACCTTGACCTGACTACTCGTGCAGAATAACTATCCGGCAACGGTTGTTACCGGCCTGTTTCTTTGTTACCTTTGTATTGTATCTAATACTTACAATGTGTACCACAAGTATATATGTAGTTTAAAACTCTTACATATTAAATGGTCATTATTTGTAAGCGTATTTGAAAACCCTAACGCCCATAAAAAGAGAGAGAAACTACCAACGGGGCAATCAAAATTCACACGTGTATTATAACAGACAGCACCTGGCCAAAAATTAACACGACCAAAGAAAAAAAAACAATTACAAATCCTGTGTACATCCTTAGTTTTATATATTTTTAAATAAAAACAGAGGTACAGATTTTTCAATTCTATCAAGGGTATTTGAAAACTCCAACGGTCATAAAAAAGAGACAAGCTACAAACGGGGAATCAAATTTCACAAGTGTCACCTGGCCAAAAATAAACACGACCAAACGACAAAAAACAATTACAAATACCACGCAGTCAAACCAGTATACATCATTGTTTTATAACATGGAACCTATTACTTGCTATAGAACTAAAATTCAGTAGAAATTTTTTTCCTAAACATCAATTGCATCTTTTATTGACCTTTATAATATTTATATAAGATTGGACCTAATAAACATCTGTTTATTTTTTTTATCTCTTGCAATGGTTATGTAATTAATTGTCAGTGCTGGTATACTACATAGATAAAGGTACATCGTAAAACCAAGGAGTTTTATAGTAACAACTATACAAATCCTTGGTAAAACGAAAATTGTAATTAAAACACGTGATTTTTAGCCATTTTGTTTTTAATTTATAGAACTCATACGGACCATACCTTCCTTCAAGTTGTTATCTAATCAGCAAAGTAAATGCAAAATCGTATGATTATAGTGGTCATGATTGTTGGATTTGGTTTAAATCCTCATCGCCAATAGAAAAAAACAAATTTCCATAAAGTTTTTTTTAATCTGTGTTGAGATGAAATTAAATCCGCTATTTTTACTGGTCATGAAAATTAAATTTTATAAGGTTTCTGACTTTCAACAAGCATCATTTTATCATAAGTTAAAAACGTATATTTTAGCGTCAATTATTGTACTTTGGTCTGACGAGGATATTTGTCCCCGTGCAACAATACCACATCTATTGACTTTTTTTTCTCAATATTTGATTACTTTTCTTTTATCAATTCAATTCAAGTCAAATCAAACAGTATTGTCATATAAATCAACTTACATGATTTGTGACTAAAACATACAAAACATAAACAAAACAAATACAAATACGTTATCAAAGTCTCACCACTTGTTTCATAAAAAATATACAGCCTAATAGAGCATTTGCATTATTCACGTATTTGCTGGCGTATCCGTATCGACGTATCGTATAACACGTATACGAGGAAAGGATAAATTAAGTCAAGTTGTTTCCGATGAAGATATTTTACAAAGCATTTAGTTTTAATTCAGATCGGGGCTAAATCATTATTTTATACAAATCTTCCCGATACGTATACGTCGATCCGTGCACGTATCCTGATACGTGAATATTGCAAATGCTCTAATAGAGGTTTCTCAACATCTTACGAACGGACGAAACTCTACGTACGTATCGTTAAGGAGCAGTAATTTTGTTAAAATAAAATCCACGATAAATTTCTGCCGATATTACAGCGTGTTTCAAGACAACAGTTATCAGTTTCATAATCTTTTTTCCAACCTTGCGTTTTATTTTTTGTGTTTAGACATCAGTGTTCCAATTTATTTTCTTTTGTTGAATGTTACGTATTCTTACGTTGTGTTTCGTTTGTTTACATGTCGAATATATGCGTTCGATTTATCTCCCTTATCCATTTAAAAAGAACATTGTTATGTAATGTTGATGTTAACAACAATCGGCGCGTCTGGTTTGTATTTGATTGATTGAGTGTTGGATGTTAAACGTTCAGTGGCAAGTATTCCATGAATTTCGCGACGAGGTTAGCGTTTGATAAAGGATTGAAAAGTGATTTAGATGACACAAGTTTAGTATTTTTCATTTATTATATCGACACATCCTTTATAAATATGGAACGAATAAAGGAGGAGTGTTTGGGTAAATACTGTCTCCTAGAATACAGCACCCAACTGGAAAGTCTTAATGTGCACTAGGTCCAAGTGGTCCAACTTTCTGTAACGCATGAGTGTCATTTACGTGTTCGAGAGTATCTTGGATAAATATGTCGTGAACACCGCTATTTATTTAAAAGAAAATTATCTATTGGGAAAAGGTTACAGAAATATAAAGGAGCACTCGATCAATCGTAAAGTAATCGATTTTTGTGTATTCTTGTTGAAAGTATGAGTGCTACAGCACTGATAGTTACACATTTTTTAAAAGCCACGGTACATTTTTCTAAAAGTCCATTCCCTAAGTAAAAAAAAAATAGAAAAATAATAACAGAAGAAAATATATAAACAGCATGCCATAAGAACTCCACAAAAACAAGAAAACAAAATCAATTATATATATACTAAAATTTGTACGATAATAAAACATACACAAAAAGAATAAGAACGGCCATGAAAAAAAACAACAAAAAAACTAAATACATAACAGTAAAATTGAGAATGGAAATGGGGAATGTGTCAAAGAGACAACAACCCGACCATAGAACAGACAACAGCAGAAGGTCACCAACAGGTCTTCAATGCAGCGAGAAATTCCCGCACCCGGAGGCGTCCTTCAGCTGGCCCCTTAACAAATATATATACTAGTTCAGTGATAATGAACGCCATACTAAACTCCAAATTGTACACAAGAAACTAAAATTAAAAATAATACAAGACTAACAAAGGCTAGAGGCTCCTGACTTGGGACAGGCGCAAAAATGCGGCGGGGTTAAGTACATCTTTTTAAAGTTTTAATTGTTTTTTTTTTAAATATTTATTTCATTGTTTCCCGTTAGTTATCTTCTTGAGTTTACCAGTTTAGCTAGAATATAAATCAATAATAATCATTTAAGGTGAAGAAGTGACCATGTGGATTTTAGAATTGGGGCAACGAAGCGGTTACCCCAGATCCGAGGATGTTTTTTGTTGTTTTTGTTTCAAATTAAAAACTAGAGGCATTCACGCCTAGATTTGATTTAACTCATGTTTGCGGAAGACCTTCTAGCATTGATCTTATCCTTGGTAAGATTAAAAAAAAAATCCTATCCCCTTCTATTCCAAAGTCCTATATTTACCCTTTTTCACATAAATGTACTAAAAAATTCAAATGATGTTGTCATGCTTATCAAAATCTCTTGTACGATTGCTGCCCTTGGTCTAAATATTTTAAATTATATT